GAATTTATATGTAAGGTGTTTCTTTCTTTCTGTATGTTTTTGTATTTCTTCTTTTCTTTTTTCTTATGTAATTTAATAACGCCTTTAGTTAAAGTCTTGTCCTGCCTAGATTAGCATTGTAGCTATTTGCAGGACATGAAGTTTTGTAAACCTTATATTTCTTTAAATAAATAAATACAAATACATACAATACATGAATGATTGCCGATAGATTGAGTTTGAACTATGGAAGGTTCATGGCGTTGGCGAGTGCTGATCTTACTACTGCCAAGAAGAAAGACCCTGGAAGAGGAGTAGCTTGCAAAAGACTTGCGTAACATTACAGGTAAAGAAAAAAATATTGAGGTGATTTCACCTGGACTGAAACAAAATCAAATGAGACAGAGCAACCCGAAGCTTCAACAATTCCACTCAAGCGAATTCTTTCAATTACAAGTATAGTTCTTTCAATTGTTAGTCTTTATTACAAAAGGAAAGAGAAAATTGCACTTGTTACGAAAAAATACTTAGAAATAAAGCCACAAGCATCCAAAAGACCACCGGAAGCACCTTAAAGTCTAAAAGCTTTGAGAATTTTAGTGAAGATCAAACCGATGGATTGATTTCCAATACATTATTTTCATGACAGAGAAAAAATCTCTGATAACAAATTTGTGAAAACATCGACTGATACAACTACATTAACTGGTATTGTAGCTGGTATTGAATGGCTTTTAAAGAAAGTTATCAAGGAACCAAGGAATTTTGATCCTAGTTCAAATCTTATGAACTATGTGGAATTCACAATGGATGTTGTTGCCACTTCTTCATGCAGTAAAACAACATCTTGAAGACTACAAGATTTTGCCTTTTTTTTTTCATATATCAAAATGGGAAGTGTGATCACGAAAATAGTAAGAGAGACCATCCAAGAACTAATTGAGATTACAAAGAATCTGTGGTTGAAGAGGAAGTTAATGAACGGTTGCCCGGAAAGCACGGTGAGCCGACTAATAAATAATTAGCAAGGATTTCCTTTTTAGAACTTAAAGAAAATGGCAAGTAAAGCAACAATGGTTGGAGGAGTGATTATCAATGCGACTACTTTTGTTGGTGGAAGCTATTTGGAAAAGTATGAAGAGATAAAGCGTCATGATCTAGCTGTTTTTCTAACAAAAATAGCTGGTGCTTTGGCAACTGGATTGGCTGCGAGTCAATTTTCAAGTAAATCCACAGAATGGTTGAGGAGACTTCCAGAAGTTGCTTCAGCTTTGAATCGTGAAGAGACTCGTTTTGCTGGAAAGAAGCCTGTTGATGCAATCAGAGAGAAGGCTGTTAGTGCAAAAGCCATCAAGTACTTATTTAGTACTTATTCAAACAGTCGGCTCAAAAGAGAAAAGAATCAATTATTCACAGAAAATGAGATCTTTGTATGCTATTGTTGATTTGGAAGGTGGTGAGAGACGAGCAACAGATCCAATTTATTCTCTAAAAGTTTACAATATAGAGAAATCTATTGCGTCATTTTCACTGTAAGGTTCACCCTTATGTCAACCATAAGGCTAACCTAACACTATCATTTAGTCTAAGGCTACCCTTAGTCCTTAGCCTACCCTTAGTGCTAAGACTACCAGCACGATAGGATAACCCTTCCTTTAACCCTAACCTTTAATTTCAATCCATACCCTTACCCCACCGCTAACCCTGTCCGTAACACTAGCATTAACCCCAACCCTCTCATTTCATAGGTGATTACTGAGGCTCAAAGCATCATTGGATATACGCGCCCTGCACTAGATCCAATAATGCTGTGAGCCTCAGTTATTATCTTTTAGAATTAATGACATGTATAAAATCTCATTGTTCTCTTTCTGCATTACAGCAACGATTTTAGTCGCTTTGATATTGACGCTTTGGTACGCCAACAATTTTATTAGCATGTATTATAAAGTAGTGGTAAAAATTGCTTAATCGTCTTTTATTGCTCTACTCGGGAAATTTTAACACCTTTTTAAGATGATGTAACTTTCCCTACCCGTCAGGAGAAAATTCTTTGTCACCTGCATGTGTGAACGGTGTTCTTGAATCTCATGACAAAGAGGTATTTGCATAATATAGAAGACAATGTATTTGGCCATATTGAGTAGTATGTTAGAGGACATTCCTTGACTTTCAGATTTCTATTATGAAGGTGTATGGAGGATTCTTTAGAAGTCGAATCTGCACTTTTCCTAACGCAAAGCCAGAGGTGGAAGAATGCTTCTGTTGTTGAAGGTAATTAAATCTTCTGACATTTTCGTTTCTCATTTTTTAACGACTAAGAAAAGGTTATCTTGTACTTTTCTTTCTTTAGAAGAGCAAGGATTCAGAAAACCAAGTACGTCATTTGAGTGCGAGAAGTTTGAAGATGGGTATCGGACGTAAGTCATCGAAAATGGTCAATTGTAAAAGCTCGTCAATTGTAAAAATTCGTCATTGTAAACTTTAAAATTAGTTGCGGTTAGGTCTCCCTGAATGGTACTTTATATGGTCCATTCATTGACTTGAGTAATATTTCCGAGTTCAGATCTACAGTGCATAATGGCATCCAGGAATTTTCACAAACTGCTGAGTGAAAAAAGTAATACGGTAAAAGCAAAGTAGTTAAGAACAAGTCTCTGTAAGAATCAAACATCTTGGGAAATGAAAATCTTCAACCCGCTCGGGGGGGGAGGCAAAAAAAAGCCCTTTTTAAAGGTCGCAGCACTCGTTGCCATGGTAACAACGGCTGCTTGTTCGAGGCCTGGGGCCTCATTTTCATACAAAACGTCGGAAAAAAAGAGTGAAATGTTTATTTCTCTATCTCAAACTAAATACAACATTACAAATTGGCACAAATTTTTCCTATGGAAAGTAGAGGCAGGTCCGCAGAGATTTTTATAACCAGCTAGGTTGGTAGTTTTAGTTCCAGAGTCGGTGTACTTTTGGAGAAATTCAGATAAACGTTTTCCCTGTTTTACCCGACAACAAAAATGACCTAAACTGTACCGAGATGAATAATCTATTGGTGTGTTCACATTCACTCCCAGGGAAAATTAAATACATCAAAGTGAAGACGAATGATGTCACTATGCATGGTAGAAGTGATTACCTCTTTCTATTTATACGCAAATACTCACTGAACCTCATTTTAATGAGGGCCAGTAATCATTTGTGTATGACACCGTACTCTTCTGAAACGGAGCTGTAATTCCAAATTCAATCTATTGTTTCGTCGTTGTTTTTTTTCTATCCAAAACCTGTTGCATGATGATTGTGCGTAAATCTTGCCAAAATCTGAATTCACTGCACTCTGACAGGTGTAAAGCAGTAAAAATGAAAGGCAACAACATATTAGGCTTAAAAAGTCTTTCTAATTTAAACATTTTTTGATAATTTTTTTATTTTTTAAAAATTTTTTTAAAATTCTTGCATTTTTTAAAATTATTTTAAAATTATTTTTTTAATCATTTTTTTTTTAATTAAACTGGTGAGCGGCAATTTGCGAACAGTATACGTAGTTATAAAACTTCATTATTCTCCGACGCGTTTCGTTTAATTGTCGTAGACTTCTTCAGTGAGTTTTACAAAAACTAAACGCCTGTATTTATAAGCCATAGTTAGCGGCTAAGGGGGGCCAGTGACCATAAAGTCTTGGCCGGACATACGAACAGGAACAGGCGAAGTTGTGAAAAATTTGAAAATTTTTGGGGCAAGGTGAGAAAAATATTTTGGGCGTCACGGATTTAGCTAAAACATTGGCCCCGTATAGCTGCCAAGTATGGCTTATAAATCCAGGCGTTTAGTTTTAACTTGTAAAACTCCCTGAAGAATTTTACGGCAGTTAGACAAAACGCGTCGGAGAATAAAGAAGTTTCACAACTGCTGTTCGCAGAGTGCCGCTCGCTAGTTCAGTTTTAAAAAAAGAATTTAAAAAAATTTTAAATTGTGTTAGTAAATCAATTGAAAAAATTGCAAAAACTGTTCTAAAAAAATAATAAAAAAAATTGATTAAAAAATAAATTGCAATTTTTTTAATTATTAAAAAAATTTTAAAAAGGAATTTAAAAACTAGTTTAAAAATTGATTAAAAAATTAATTACAATTTTTTTAATTATTAAAAAAAAATTAAAAAGAATTAAAAACTAATTAAAAAATTGATTAAAAAATTAATTTCAATTTTTTTAATTATCAGATCACTGGTACAAGATAAGAACTTTGGAAATCGTAAGGTAGGTAGGAGGTAAGGCCATCATCAAAGCATGAAAATCGTTTGAAATGGATCGTTAGGCGGCTTGTAAAGTGTCCAAAATCTCAATTAAGCTAATGTAAACGCTTAGGTCAAGCTTCTTTGAATCAAGTTGTGGTATCTGAGAGGAATGATGTATTGAATTGTTTCAAACACCAGGCAGAATTTTTAGAGGGTGAAAGAGGCAAATTTTTCTTGTTCTGAACATAAATGAGGCTTGAAGAGAAAGGACTTATCAGAGAGAGATTACTCTTTGTAATAGAATTGCTCAACGTATTCAATTATGGCAGTTTTAAAACAATAACAATATAGTTATATTTACAAACCTTACAAAGTACAAACCGAAAGAGCTGAGCTAAGGCTGGATAAACAATAGTATGGAGCTGAGGTGTAGCTCAGTGAAAAATAGTATTAATTTATTTGATAAATAATGATTTAAATGATGTAAACGATAAAATGATTAAGAAAGACTGAGTGGAGCATGAAACTTCGTGGGAGTTTTTCTTTTGGGATTTTCCCCTTTTTTTTCTTTAGGCTCGGGTAGTGAAAATTTTCTGGTCAGAGCTAATTCGCGAATTAGTATTAATATTCGAACTCGAATATTAAATTTATACTTCCTCGCCACCGAGTACATGTGGTTTTCTTTTGGTTGGCATGTTAATTTCAAGTGAGATATGACATCCTGTTTGCGTGCATGCTTGACTTAAAATATTATCATTCAGCAAAACTTGTCCTTTATTTCTTCGCAGCATATGTTTCTTTCCTAACTTTACAAAGATTTATTTTAAGTTAATCTGCATTCTCAGAATTAGCCAGTGAGGCGATCTGCTGGCAATAATATAGATGTTCGCGTCAGAAACCGCGAGGTGAATCCGATCAAATGCGATCACTATCTAGTTCAAAACTGACATTTACATGCCCTTTTTCCTGTACAGGAGACAGATTACTCAAATCAGTGCCACATCTTTGCCTTGCCTGTTCTGCTCTATTAGGACAGTGACCTGTCCCATTCATCAAATTAAAACTTCCGTTTTCGCTGGTTAGTGCCTCGGGATCCTTGGTTTCCATAGAACTTAATAATTCGCCGCCAAAGCTAACTCGTCGTTTCTCTGGATTACGTCCTGAAAACCCCTGACTTTGAGAACACGTCGGAAATTTTGACAATTCCAGGATAGCTTCCCGTTCAATACTTGTAAACGATAGACATTTGATTTCAGCTCTAGTCTGCCCAGTGACCACTCTGCCATAGCTGACCACTTGATTGTCCGAGATCGAGAGTGAGTTTCTGTGGACTCGGTCCAGTGTGAGGCTTTCCGATTGTCTTCGTTGTGCTTGTTTGCTAACAACACTCGCAGTCCGCCGTCGCTCTTCAAGTTCATAATTACAGTTGCATCGCAAAGCGTTTTTAAAAGCCTTTCTAAAATTTTTATTGAGCACAGCATAAACTATTGGGTTTGCGACGCTGTTTAGCAGCCCCAAAAAATTTCCGACAAAAACAAACAAATCTGGCGCATAATAACCCGGGCTTGGAGGAAAAATGTTCAAAAGTTTGTTGATCATGTACGGCAGCCAACACAAAGTAAATAACGCTACCACCAGAAATAGCATTTTAATTATTTTTCGTTTGCTCAGCAAATCTTTTGCTTTACTTTGAGATGTTTGTTCGCCGGGTTGCTGACGTGTGTACAAACGGCGTCCAATTAAAAAATAGAGAACTGATATCTGTAGAAGAAAAAGAAAGTAACATGATATCCGGTACATTTGGTACGAATGCAAAGCTTTTGAACTCCTCCAGGACTCCTCGCACTTGGCTGCTTTTATTCCTTTTGAAACGACGTCATGGTGAAACAATGAAGGAAGGAGAAGAAACGGCGACACAAACCAAATGACACCAACAATCTTTTTGGCACAGGGAGGGGTGATTAATCGCTTCAGTGGGAAAAAAACTGACACGAAGCGGTCATACGATATGGCTAACAAACTTAATGCCGACGCCATTACTGACATATGCACCAAAAACGACAAAATCCTACAGCCTGTCTTTCCATAAGGCCACACTGGCCAAGTCAAAACATTGTACACAAAAAACAACGGCATGCAAGTAGAAGTAACTATGACATCTGCGCCAGCCAGCGATGCTATGAAAATGTTCGTTGTTGAACGCATGCCTCGGTTGATGATTACCGATACTATTACCAGAGAGTTTCCCAATGTTCCGAAGAAAATCGCCAATATGTTTGCGATGGACAATCCCACGACGGCACTTAAACTGGCACCGCTGTTGCTGTCTGAATTTTGATATCCAGTTAAATTGCTGGTTAAGTTTGTCTCAAGTGGAGTGCTGTTCAGAAAGTAATTCATTTTCCCTTATCCTTGTCTAACTCACTAAAATTCTAAACACACGATTAGCTGTTGGTTGGTTTCTTTTTAAGTGTTTCCCTCAGATGCTGTAGGTGCGACCCACCGCCAATTCAGAATTATTTCTGATCGAGGTAACATAGAACTTGATGAGGCTAAAGTTGAATCACCGAGTATCTACGAAGAAATAAGACAACTGAGTGAAAAGATAACAACTCTTTCGCAAACGATCATTAGGGTTGAAAGGCCGCCATGAGACAAAAGTTGATCAGTGTTTTCTACCTCCCATGGGAAGTATTTTTCTCAGACAATCAGGCGCCATGCACATTAACAGGACAATTTTGCACACCAAAAACATCCTGAATTTACAGTCATCTGCTAAAATGTAATTAAAAGACGTCTATTGTTACATCACACTTTTTGAGGTTAAGCCACGAAAAAGAACTGATAAAAAAAGAAACTTTTAAATACGCTTTTAACCGCCTTGAACTACGTAAATGAGCTTAAATTGGAAAGATAAGAGTTTCGAATAATAGAATATTCAGCGTTATTTTGGTTGAATTGTCAGTGGAAGGCGACATTATCAACAGTTTATTTACCATTCTCCCACAAACACAATATTCTGAGGACGTAATAGATCGGTCCTTGCTGTCACCGGCATGTGCTCTAAACTAGTTATCTCGAAAAGGAAAACAATCATTCCTTGTTAATGGCCCTTAGAAAATAGCGCTTGCAGCATGATAAACACAGCAATATGTTTATGCTTTTTTACCCCTAATAACAAAAAAAAGTTGTGAATAAAACGACCAGATCTCCCTAACAGGTTTGCTTCGAGTTGCGTTCAAATGAGCCTTGAAATAGAGGAAGTAGGTTTAATGATATATGAGCCTTGATTATCATTACTTTGGAAGGTCGTCGGTTCAAACGTTCAACTAATCACATTTATTTTTTTTAGTATGGAACTTCGAAGGCTGATTTGAAGGCCAGTCCACGAGACCCCAATAACTACGCTTTTACATCTGCTCAATATAAATTTTTAAATGGTATGGTCAGTATTTGTATCCACTATGCAAAGTATCGTGTAAGGTAAGTCCCGCAACTGACAAAAAATTTAAAGGTTGAATGAGTTTATTCATCATGACTTACCAAAACCTAAGCTGTAAAAATTCTACATAAATTAGGGATTTGTCTAATTTGCGGAGATTTACCATCGAATGAATGAAAGATGCCCGCTGAGGATTGTTCTCCAAGAAATCGAAGAAATTATTAATTCTGTTTGGGAAGTATACCAAACGTCAACAGGAAAACAATTTCCTGACATCCTTTGTCACCAATTCTAGTCTACCGTAATGAAAATCACAATGAAAAACCGAAAAGAAGTTAAATTTATAACTGAGGTCGGACTTCAAGTCTTTGATCTTTTCAGAAGTAATGAAATACAACTGCACCGAAAAATAATTTTAGCATGTGGGAAAATAAAAGGTTTTAATACCTCCTGACGTACGAGATCGCTGACAGATAGGCAATATTATTGTTTCACGCTGATTCAATGGAAATTCTCATTGTTTTAAAGCTTAAAAAGCCTACCGGTGAGACTGAAGTGAAATCTCCTATTAAGTGAATATAAAAGCAAATCTCTTGGCTTTCTTTGACACAAACATGACGAAATTTATCCAGCACAAATCAAAATTCAATAGTCGCGGAATAATAATTACATAAGTAGAAAAGAGACATGACTTTTGAGGGGATATGGTTCTTAACGTTCATTTTCGATTATGCTTATTAAGAGGTTAAAAATAGTAAACGTATCAGCCATAACAAAGTTACTGAACAAAATATTCAGCGAAAGTTCGTTGTAGGTGACTGAAATATCATTTTGTTTTGTACAGAGAAAGATTACATGAAAGATGAAAACGAAGAAAAATTTTCTTTGTGATCATAAAAAAGTGCTTAAATCTGAGAGCATCTTTTCATTTCAGTTTAAAGATTTATCAAATTCTGAATCTAAAATAAAGGAAAATAAGCTTGTACCTGTGTCACGCCGCCCGCCACCAAATGCCTCAAAGAGACTTTAGTGAAGTAATGGCGTTCTTAATCAATAAACCAGAGTGACACTGAAAACAAGATGCATCTGGCTTTTTTAGTCTTTTTCTGCACACATATGTTCACCTCACTGAATGCTCAGCACGCTAGGATTTCCTTTAACAACTTTTCAAAAGGCAACCTGACAGGTGAAAACTGCAATATGACGTCACTATTCGAACTCCGCCTGTGTGATGGACTACCGCACCGCCTTGTTGGCAGGTATATGTCGTCAATCATCTTCCACCCTATTGTCGTAAAATATTTTATCACTCCTCTTCACTGCGTGAGTCAAAATTTTACTGAGATACGTACTCTTTGCGTTGGTTGTGTTTACGCTTAAGCCTTAACATTGCAACTGTGTAAGAAAGAAACAATTAACGTATTTGAGGGCGCTGCCAGTATGGTTCCATCTCCATGTCCAATAAAGCCTGATAACTTGCACTTAGAGATAAGCTAGGCGAAAAAAATTATCTTTGCACATTAATATTGGATTGGAGTAGAATAATGGAGTTGTTTAACATGTTCGAAGATATAGTAATATAAGTAACAAAAGCCAGTTGTAAGTGTTAGTTGTTAAGTGTACGTGCTAATTGCCAGTTAGAAGCGTCGAATGACAGCTATTTCCAATGATGCTTTCAACAAGTCCAATATCTCTATGTCAGAAGAAAGCTAGTCACAAATATTTTGACATAGCAACAAAGTCAACAAATCGAATAAGATCCGTGGTAAGTCCTTATCCCAGAGCGAAAAAAAACGAATATTACATTTTAAAAAAATGGTCCGTATTTGTAGATAAAGTGTCCCCGTAATCAAACGATTACTGTTATGGAGAATAAATTTCTGGCTTCCCTCTCAGTACACCGATAAATGGGTGATTGACCGCCGACCGCGGTCTAGAAGTTCCCAAGTTCCATTAAATGGTTTACAGGTAACATAACTACCTGAATCTTCCCTTCAACTTCTTTCTTGCCATGCCAATATTAATCACTACAGCTGTAATTCAAGAGGAGCTTAAGACTGTGTACAATACCTATACCCCTAAAATACACTTCTAGTCCTCAAGTGAAGTGTTGTTATTGTTATTATAATATTTCTTCATTAGACATTCGGTAAAATGGGAAATTTTTACTTCTAATGGATTTTTCTACTAAGTGAGAATTAAAGATGTCATTGGCGGACCTTCCTGTTTACTATCACGACTCCATCCTAAGTTACATGCGCTTTTCAGATGTAAATTGGAAACAAAACGAAATGGATCAGCTGGATTGTGAAATCGCGTACCGTTCAATTGTTCCGATCACGTACAAAGATCTGCAAAACTAAATTGACAGCGCAAAGACAACATACCTAGGTGTTGCGTCGAGTTGAAAAAAAATTATTAGAGAAATTTGAAATGTAAAGAAAAGTACTAAAATTTGTGGAAAGCACTTTTCTTAGTTCATTTTCACCCCGCATCCACACAAAAGAATGAATATTCGGTTAAGAATATATGAAAGTCATATATTTGAACTGCGGATAAAGACGTGAATGAAAGTGATCCTCTCAGTAATGTGCACTACTTAGGCAGTAGTGAAAATAAGGCCTGAAAAAAATTCAGGCCTGTACAGGATTTGAACCCATAACCTCTGCGATACCGGTGCAGCGCTCTACCAACTGAGCTAACAAGCCAACTGAGAGCTGGTCATGATGTTGGTTCTAAATAAACCCGTGAAGTGATGACGGTTAAGAATATATGAAAGTCATATATTTGAACTGCGGATAAAGACGTGAATGAAAGTGATCCTCGCAGTAATGTGCACTACTTAGGCAGTAGTGAAAATAAGGCCTGAAAAAATTATTATTTATTCACTTTCATTCAAGAATGAATATTGTCCTCTTTCACCACTAAGGAATTTTCGGTAATTTTTTCGGACGAAAAATTTAAGTATTTCTGATCTTAGGTTGATTTTGTCCTCTGATCAACCCACGTGTTGACTTCAATCGATAGAATCGACTTTGAACTTTGAAGAATTCGTACTCTGTCAGTATGAAAAATTTCCCTTGAAATTTACTGTGACCTTGACATAGACCCCTGTGTGGTTTTCACGATCACATCAAGAAGTGGCAAACTTTTAGTAAGGGTTCTTAGCCACCTTACTTTTCGAAAACATACGGGTTTTGTGAATACAAAGGATCAAGGGCTGCTACGTCAGGAAAAGGTCTTATCACCGAAGGTTCTTGAACCAACTAATCCAGATTAATACTGAAAAGCACAAAGCTTACACCTTTACTATCATTAATTTATTCACATATATTCAATAATCGATTATTACACTACACGTTGACAATTTGTATAGGTAATCACATGATTTCTCGTGCAATTTGGAATAAATAAGCACGAGTAAATTTTTTTAAAGACTAACAAAATTGCACGAGCCCGTAGGGCGAGTGCAATTTGTGGTCTTTGAAAAAATTAACAAGTGCTTGTTTATTCCAAATTGCACGAGAAAAATCATGTGATTACGAGTTAATAATATACATGGAAAAATACGAGATGGCTTATCATAATTAAACATAAGCAAAGCGCGCGCATCAAGTGCAAAAAATAATTTATTCAAACCGTGCGTTCGGTCAAAACAACCGCGTAGGACGTAAGTACTAAAACAAGGAACGACCTAAAACCACCTAAAACCACCTAAAACCACCTACAACCACCTATAACCATCTACAACCACCTCAAAAATTTCAACAACCACCTACAACCACCTCAAAAACATCTACAACCACTCGCAAACTATCTAAAACCATCTAAAACAAGGCATAAACGTCTAAAATAAGGCGAAACGATATGTCACGTACACGAAATACGAGAATCGAACGAAACCTCTACCTCCCCCTGAAATCTTACTCTCCCTGGTCCCATGTATAATCAACCATCTCACGAAATGAAATGCGATAGCATGCTAATTATTTTTTATAATAAAGCTCGGATATAACACGTACTGTCATTGGTTGAAAGAGTGTGTTCTATGAGAGTATAGAGCATAGAACTGAGCTAAAGCTGTCACGCCATCTGCCAAATCGTACTATGTCCGACCTTTTCCGGGACTTCTTTCTAGCTTTTCTTTCGTTAATTGAAAGTGAAATTTCGGAACAAGCGAGCAAAGGTTTGCAAAAATGCCAGGCGCAGTAATTTACGTGACTGTAACGTGAGCAGAGTCAAAAATCCTCAAAGATAAAACAAGATAGACAGTCCGAGTTTTTTTTAACGGTTTTCACGCTCAGTTAGATTGCGAGTTTACGTACGGTAATAAAAATCAAACACAGCTAACACTTGTATAGTATATAAAGTTTCGATTTCAGATAGAAAAAAAACAGGAATTATGACAAATATAACCTGGCATAACTGTTAAAATTCATACTAATCATGACGGTGTCAGAGCGACTTAAGGTCTATCGCGGCTAGCTAATCATGGCGATCTTCGGTCATCGCAGTGGAGCAAGCCTCAGGAACTAAATCGACTACCCTTCGAGTGAAAAAATAAGAGTTTGCCCTGATTACCTTTCCGATGCGTTGAGTGGAAAGCCAGATCAGTCACTGCAACCGAGTTTTACGGCGCTGTCATTCCGAGCGATCTTTTTGTCTTAGTGAATTCGGCTGTTGTTACTGGGATACCTGTGGTAGCCCAGTCATAAAATGCCTTTGTTTTTTTGTCGTTTTTTTTTTTTTTTTTTTTTCCCTCCGCCACAAAATGGAAAAATTGCGCAATGATACCCAGTGGTCATTGGGCCCTCAACACCATGACAACTAACTGTGATCCAATGAGGGTGAAGGTGTTCACATGCTGATCACGTGTTATCTTGATGATGATTGACGTTGTCATCCACGGACAGGTCCGGGTCACATGACGAGCACGAGATTTTTGCTTAGAAAACTCTTTTGTCGATCGTTTTGTATTTCAACGTGTTTGGATTACGATCACCTGAAGCATTATAACGCAAACGCTCGAAATACCTACAGACGCATACACAAGTCGTATTGTTCGCGGCCAATCCACACTAAAAGATGTTATTGAGCGGTAATTTTGGACCGGATTGAGTCGCGAACTGTGTATCCGTTGTGGTTTCTGGTGATTTCTGCCGTTTTAAGCTTGCTTTACCATCACTGTTATTCACCTCATCTACTTTTATTTCGTTGGTAAAATCTGTACAGACATCACACAAACCAACTCGCGCACAAAGTAAGAAGAGTATATTGAAGGCTTGAAATTATGTTACGATCGATTTTCATCAAGAAATGGGCCAGGAATTTTCCACAATAGTGCAAATAATCGTGAAGGCTGATCGAGGAAAAGCGATTGCGTGACGCTCGGTAAGCTGTAAGATGACATATTATTATTTACCAGACGTAAAAACTCCTCAGATTCTCAGTCTGCATTTTGTACCCACTCTGCAGTCTCCAGTCTATATTTTGTATCCGGTCTGCTGTCTGCATTTTGTACTAACAGGTATCTGTGGCACCAATACAGTTTATTTTTGGTTACATTTATTCGCATAACACATAATCTACCACAAAATACCTGTGTGTGAGGTAATTCGACATTTTCGTTATTTTCCACGTTAATACTCTTCTTTCCTTTTGTAAGAATGTAGACCACAAGTAATCCACCCACCCTACAAAAAATAACTCTTGCATGCATAGCATGCCTATGTTTTGAAATAGGTGTATGCCCTTTGCCAGACTTGAGCTCACTATTTCAGTATACTAATCCGACACCCATAGTATCATTACACTTGATTCCAAGGATCCAGTACCATCCAGGTATCCCAGTTACCCTGCTCACAGGGTCTAGTTCATTCATATTACACTAGCCTTGTACAGTTTGTTTTCTACTTGTCATGTGAAATAACTTGCGTATTTTTGTGAGCTACGATTGGGCCGAATTTCACTGAACATTTCACTTTCAGATCCTGTATTAGAAACTAAAAAACTTCAGGCAAAGGTGTTAAATTCGACATGCCGAGCTATTTTAGTTTGTAAACTATTGCAGAATATAAACTTTGATGGTTTTTGAACTTTGATGGTTTTTGAACTTTGATGGTTTGACATTTTTGACAGCTTTAGTCTTGTACAGCCAATCAGATCATTTGAACCATTCTAACAGGAATTCTGATTGGCTTATTGTAGCGTGCTTTATGAGAGTATAGAGCATGCTGACGACACTGTTGTTCGCTTTGGAAATAAGATTTGTTTTGAAAATTGAAAGTAATTCTTGAGGAATTTAACAGATTCTTTATTATAAAACAAATAGAGAAGAAGTAGTAGAAGTAGAAGAAGAAGAAGGAATTTCTCTTCTCGTGTTCAACTCGACATCTCACTCGTTCACTGCGCTCACTCGTGAGCTATCGAGTTAAACACTCGAAGATTAATTCCATATCTACGCGCGCCCATGTATTATTCCCTATTTATTAGTTTTTGTAACTTGTTAGTTCATTTTGTAAAGTTCTTTAAGTCTTTTGCTGAGGGAATATAAAATAATTAGCATGCTATCGCATTTCATTTCGTGAGATGGTTGATTATACATGGGACAGGGAGAGTAAGATTTCAGGGGGAGGTAGAGGTTTCGTTCGATTCTCGTATTTCGTGTACGTGACATGTTGTTGTTTCGCCTTATTTTAGACATTTATGCCTTGTTTTAGATGGTTTTAGATAGTTTGCGAGTGGTTGTAGATGTTTTTGAGGTGGTTGTAGGTGGTTGTTGAAATTCTTGAGGTGGTTGTAGGTGGTTGTAGGTAGTTTTAGGTGGTTTTAGGTCGTTCCTTGTTTTAGTACTTACCCCGCGTAGGAGCAAAACAATAATAGGCAATGATATCTTCACATCTTTAAAGTGCAAGAAAGTTCAAAGTCCGACTAAACAATTCAAAGAATAGTTCAGTCTGTGTCCGAAGCACTTTCGATGAAATGGAATCGTCGTTTCCGAGGTTTAACTATGACTGTTTTTAATTTCGGCGTTGGATCGCTCGAGCAAAGTGTTAAGCTAGGTCGGCTCGTAATTTTCGATTTCCTTGGCAATTCCCTTCTCTAAACACCACTTTTTCCAAACTGACAACCAAAAAGCAGTGCTTTTTATAGTGTTTTCGTTGTTTAAGCTGTTTCTCAGCTGCGGTGGCGAAAGAAAACCTACTTAAAACGCCGGCCATTGTTTCGCTCGCAAATTTTCAAATTTTCAAATTTTGTTGCGACATCCAAGGCTCGCATTTGATTGGCTATCTGTGAGTTTCTTTGATTATTGACCAATCAGAATGTCTGATTTGTTTCTTTCTTTGCACTGAATTAACCCTCTTCTGCACTGAATTAACTCTCTTCTGCACTGAATTACCTGAAAACTGCATTTATCTTAACCAATCAGAACTGAGTAATTTTTCCATGTATATTATTAACAGCTTAACAGTGTAAGGAAATAACATTTTCTGTGTCATAAGGAACCTTCTATTATCTCTATGTTGGGGACAGCTCTCAGGTTGAACTACTATGAAGCTTTAGGGCCATCTCCTGTTTAAAATGAAAAGGTAAATTGGTTAAGTTAGAGAATTTTATTTTCTAGCATAATTTAGATCATTTGCACGCGGGTTAATTTCGCCGCTCATGTTGCAGCGCTAAGAAAAGGCAGCTCTCAAGCTGTGTGAAGTATCATGTTTAATAGTACAGTGTATGTTCCACATCATAAGATGATCATGAGATTGTAACACACCCAGTTGCCATTGTATGATTGTCCACATATCCTGTGGGGATTTTTGAATGAGTGACATGGGAAACATGAGGAACTGGTGGAACAAAACTTGAATATTGTCTGTTCGGTAATTTAAATCGAGATAGACCTAGATTATTATCTGCAGATCTGAAAGGCGACTGATGAAACATAATCCCAAAGTTCATTGAAAACTATACGCAAGTTACTGACTTTTCTCTAACCTTTGTAAGCGTATTCCAAAGCACTTGCTATGGCTGTCATGTCAGCCTCTATTACTCTTGACCAGTTTTCCACGTCGCCAAGTTCCTTTAGAACAAATATACTGAGCATGAAAAGAGAGTCTTATTTGACAGGGCTTCTCGGCGAGACTACATTTCTGAATTGGAGGGGTGAACCTCATTCAAAAAGAGTCTTGTTTTAATTTGCATCACATTTGTTAGTATGAATCATGCGATAGTTGAAAGAACCTTTAGCCTCGTTTTGTGCATTCTTTGCATTAGAATTTGAACATTGGTACAACGTAAGTGTGCTTTTATCCAAAAACCCTGCCTTGATAGGAGCCCTGACTTTGAACATACAGAGAAAGAAGCTAATTACCTTTAAAGCCTTATTGAAAGCCTCCAACATCTGAAGCCATTGTACTGTCTGTTTAGAAAATCTTGCTGAGGAGAATATCAAAGGGCGCAAAATTTGACATCAAATAGGGAACAGGTTGTCTCTGAGCCTACACCAAAACATAAACATTGAGGGCTACAAGCATGGATCAATCCTGGGTCCACCAGAATACAAGTCCAGTCCCCTAGCCACTCAGCAACAGCCCATTCCTTGAATCCTTGTTTGAGAAAACCATAGAAGCTTCTCTAGGTCTACCACTAACATTTATAACATACTGTAGTGTTGTTCCTTCTGGGAAACATATTAGGGGATACTGCAGTCAATCGCAGACTTAACTAACTGGCCAATAAATTTAATATTAATAAACGCCACTATAAGTTTGCTTTGAGTTTGAAATGTCTTGCATCTAGCTGTTAGATGTTTCTTGCAAGTCTCAACATCACGACACCATTTTGATTTTATTTAAGATCTTGAACAGTACAAAGACAAAACACATTGGACCTTACAACTCACAAAACATAACACACCATCTGGAGTATTTCCAAACCTGCATGAGCTTGTAACTGCTTGGCCTCTGTTTCTAATTTGCGCTGATTGACATAAGCTTGTTCTACACTGTGGGAAGTAAAACAAATCACCTTTTTATTACATTAATAAAAAGGTAGAATGTTAAATAAAAGCCAAAATTATGCAATCCATGAATAAAACTACTTCCAGATAGAAAGCTTCCAGAAAGAAAGTAATATTTGTCATTCAAATCAATGGGGAAAGGAAATCAAACCTGCCATTTACATTTCATTTTCAAAATAGTCAGTCCATCTCATCAAAGATTTAAAACTAATCTAGGATCTAATGTGAGGAGAGATGGAAACCTTAAAGTAGGAGAAAAAGTGTGTTCAGTGATTTTGTCAAGCCTAAGATGGTTAAAATAACAATCCATCTTTTCATCCTAATTTATTTTCCTTTGAAATAACCTTTTTAACCTTTCACATCCCAAACTCAGTAAGCACATTCTCCATATGTTCTCTGAAAATTTCCTAAGGTACTGAAGGGGGGAATTTGTTTAAAATCAAGAGCTAATCTTTAGTTGGCAGTCAATTTTTCAAATTAACTTTATCCTGGTAAGGAAACTGCCCCTAAAGCAGCTGAAGTACACCACACTGCAATAGCCAATCTTAGTTTCACTGAGGATAACCCAACAATTCTCCTAATAGAGGAGAGGCACTGAAAAAGTAGAGTGCTTTGCCTAAGAAAACAACACTGGAACACAGCCAGGACTCAAACACAGACCTATAAATTGAGAGTCCATTACATCTCCCAAAAGCAAAGTGGGGCCAACAACTTCGCATGCTAAACAACCAGCTATATGTGCATAAAAGTTGAGGTCATTCAATGTGTTACAATAATGGTAAGCAATCACTGAGCAAGCCAAACAATGTTTTATCACCTACCCAGTGTTAAGAGTGTCCATTAGTTTGTATGTTAGTCTTGAGGATGCTACCACAGCTTCTCGTCTTAAGTGTTCTACATCAATGACAAAATAAAAAACACTGAAATAACACCATAATATATTATTTGTTTCTTTAAATGAACAGGTACTCATGAAACAGGGTGACTTCAGACGATTTCTTTCAGAGAGATATATCTCTAGTAAAGGGGAAAGACTGTAATTTTGTAAACTGCAACTTAAGTTTTCATTTTCTGTACCTTCCTTCCTTCTTTTACATGTACCTTGCAGCTACAACCAGTTACAAAATGTTGAGAGTCACCTTGAGCAAAAAGTGCACTTAACAACTTCATCAGATGGCCAAAAAGAACTTTAGTGCAAAAAAACTACTAGCTGACCCCTTCCTGACTCATCAAGGTTTTGTACATGGTACTGTTTAGCTACCAACATTAGAAAGGGGGAAATAAATTATGTTGGATCACATGGTGAACAATTGTCTCTTTTCCTGTCATGGTAACATGTCTCAACTACTTTTGCAGCTGGTTGTAGCAGTACACCTTTGTATGGCACTGCCCATCTTGTACAGCCCTCAGGCTTTTTGTCTTATGTTTTTCAATGAAAACATGTCCAGGACTATACTGGGCATTTGAAAATATTATTGACTGGCTGGCTACTGACAGCCTTTTGGACTAAGTATAAAGGCTTTCAATACATCTTTCAGGTTTTCAAGCAACATTATTAGCAAATAACATGGAGCAAACCTTTAAATTAAATGTAGCTCCTTACAAATATTTAGCAATTATTCTAAATGTGCATGTTGGATATGAGATGGTAAAAAGCCAAATAGACAGTAGTGCTGAGTCGCCATAACTAAACTTGTATCCAACAAGTGTGAATAGAATAATTGTCTTTAAGTTATTAAATTTCATCAAATCCTGAATGTTTGGATATTTGGAGCCTTTTCTCAACTTGGCAACCAATGGCACAATGCATTCCCATATGAGATGAATCAGAATATCAGCTGACAGCTGACAACCACAGTTGGGTGAACAAATCAGACCACTAGAGATGCAAAATTCTGAGTTGAAAATTAAATAAATCACAATAGCAATCAATAGCTATTTGGACATCAAAACTTAGGGATCTTGATGAACATTTCTGACTCCTCCCTTTTCTTTTAGTGTTCCTTTGTTGACATAACATCCTGAAATGGCCATATAAAGCAAGTCCCTTGAAAAGGAAACTCTACCAAAGAAACAGTGCTACCAAAAGGTAAAACCACTGAACAGTTTCTTCAATTGTATGCAAACCAAATGGCTGTATTTCTTAGCTCTCTGACATTTCCTACTTTTCACATTTATTAATCCTCTCAACTCTCAAGCAATCACTTGCAATTGGCTGCTATGCTGTAAAACCACAGCTGGTGGTTTTGTCTGTGAGACAAATTGACTTTGGGGTGCCCCAGACACTGCAGTTTTGAACAAACCTTTGCAGTTAAAAGCCACGAACAACACTACGACCTGTCTAAATGAGCGAAAATAAAATTTTGCACCAGCAACATAGAGGGAAATTTCAAACGTCATTTCTCCTACTTCCAAATTCGATGAAATCTGCACAGTTTAGCAAAATGGTTTGTATTCGTCTTTAACGCCGCTTCCAGAAACTACAGGAAACTGTTACTTGTTTTGGAAACTTAATTACGTTTCCTTAATCAGAATATCGACTTACATAGAATATGAACGAAAGATTATTAATTAGTTTTAATGTACATCTGAACGTATGCAAGGGCCAGCAATTCAGTTGCAAAAAAGTTGCTCACGAACGACAAAACCGAAGAAATTTCGGTTGCTTTGTGTGAAAATAAGAATACCTTGTTTTTCCCGTTGAACTGCTTGATTCGCTTGATGTTCTTTCAAAGCACGCGAGAGCATTTTAGTCAGATTTCCTTCGGTTCAAAGCGCGAAGTTCTGTAATGAAAACAGTAAATGCATTACATGTCCTCGTACACAGCAAACTACCAGGAGACACGTCATGTACGTAGAAGTATATTGTACCACAATCCGGAAGACTTTCCCGTTGCCGTGTCACACACAACTGACCAATCAGATTTCAGGACACCAGCGGTATATAATATATCATCTGAATAAAGGGGTAGTTTCTGTAGAAACTGTGGTGCTGCGTCGGTGGGAGTGTATTTCAAGGTAGTTTGGTATTATCAACTCAACTGGCCACCGTTGAGAGTTTGAAGCTGACGTTTCGGGCGTTAGCCCTTCGTGGACTTCGTCCGACGTTAGCTTTCAAACTTTTAAGGTTACTTCCCACCTTCGCGGGTGTCCTTCAGGAAAAACTCGTACACGCGCTAGTTTCTTTAAAATCATAGCAAACTATACATCAGGAGAAGGCTTACTAACTGCAGTTTACGACAAAAATATAATTTAAGCGACCTTTCCTTTAAGGAAGTTTCAGGAGCCGGTAAGGCGTGAAACAACTGAGGGTTCTTCTATTTATCGGGTATCGGATGCCGCAGCACGAGCACGAGCAAAGCCCATTTTAGCGAGTTATCCATTTCTAGGTTTACCAAGTACATAAGAGAAGCCCTCTTATGTATCTTTTACTTGTTCCTAAAGAGTGAAATTTGACGAAAAACGGTCAAATCTTAATGCCTTAAAATTTCGCTCCAAGTGGATGTATTCCTCCCTAAATCAAATGCGAGATTTTAGCTCATAAAGGTTTGTAAATAACTCACGCTACGCCAGGAGATTATATCGCCTCCTGAAACCGCAAACCAATGGGACAACGTGACCTCCTGGGGTCAATGACGATGATCAAGATTTCCCGGGAAAAATAATCCATAGCAGAGACATCTTTTTATCTTGATCGCTCCGTGGAGCGTTGAGGAGGACGACACAATAATGGGCAAGGTTGCCAAAGGCAAAGGAAAAACCCGCCGCAAAAATGGAAAAACGGAGAATGTGCTTATAGGCAAGACAATGGATCGACAGACAGCTTTCAAAAATACGATTTGTATCAAGGCCGGCACTTACATAAAACATAGGCATGCGTAGCATGCAAGACTTATTTTTTTAGCTGGGTAGCTCGAGATGGGACTCTTTCTGTTCCTAGTATTTTCATAACTTTCAAAAGAACGAAAATATCGCACTATTTCGCTTTAAGAGAAAAGAAAAACCTAATATATCTAGACTCGCATATGTATTTTGTGGTATGTTGTCTCTATTGTCTTATAATTCTGAGCAAAAATAAAATGCATTAGTGCCACGCTCACTGTGGCTTCCTTCGCAGCCGTTGTTTAGTCTTGTCGCACAACGCCCAAATGTTACTCGTTGGAGAGTGAGCGCGTTGCGTGACGAGACCAAATAACGGTTGCGAAAGAGACTACGCTTACAACCATTCCTTTAATAGAGAGAAAATCAAAATTATTCGTCTTCAATTAGTCGCCTCAAAAATATAAATCCACGTAATTTTACAACGAAAAGCAAACTGAAACTCTGTTGTATCTTCAATAGACCCTATTAAAAAATATACTGCGATCTCGAATATGTGAAGATACACTGAGCAAGAGAAAAGGATAATATTTCAAAGAGGGCTCCTTGATTGGTTGTTGCCTATCTGAACTTTGCCTTCTCTGTAAAAAACGTGATTAAATGCAGGTTGTTTACATGGAATTGACTCGCAATAGGGTTAAGTCCAAGACAGCCAAAAAACGAATTTTATTTGTAGAAAAAGTCAAAACGCGGGAAAGCCGCGATCAGTATCATTTAATTCCCATCTGATTTTTTTCAGTGGGGTTGGATAACACGGTTAGAATACGTGATAAACTGCAGGTTGTTTACCAAGAAATGGCACGTGATGAGGATAAGTCTAATGTGGCAAAGTGAAATTTGAGTGGTAAAGTAAAATTAGAAAAATGGCGTAATGTTCATGTAGTGCAATGATTGGGTATGTTCTGATTGGACTTTCGACGTTTTTTTCATAGTACGTGATGGAATGTAAGTTGTTAGGCCTGTGTGTTGTTAGAAAAGGAGCGGAAAAACACGTTTTAACTTAAAATGATACAAAAAGTTAAATGCAAACCTTTCATATCCTGATAAAGCTCGATCGCAATCGACGAGGCTCTTGCGAAGGCCATAACCATCACACTTACCAAATGAGCCCAAAATTTCTGGTTAACGTCATTCTCTGTGCACAGCCCCCTTATTCCATAACATAATTTAAAAAAAGAAAAAATTCCCAAACGCTGTGATTAGTGCAAGATATCCAAATGCTGTGATATGATTGGTGCGAAATACATACGCTAATGCAACAATCTGATTGGTCCGAGATACACACCCTAATGCGGCAATCTGATTGGTGCAAGATACATACTCTAATGCGGCGATCTGATTTGCGCGAGAAACATACCACTCTACACGCTGTAGAGTTGTTGTTTGTTCCTTTTTTTATAAGTACGAGATTAAGACACCTTCCTGATTTATTAAATTTTATTTGAAAATACATTTTTCTAAATAACTCGGGTGCTTTGAAAGATTTCAGAATATATTTTTCTTGGAAACGCTCGGAAAAATGTTTGAAGTCAGTGTAGTCAAATAAAAGAAAAAAACGATTTTTTCGGCCTCTGAAGGTGGAAAGTAACCTTCGTCTTTGTTTTACTTGGATTACTAATAGTTTCAAAAATTAATCTTCTCCAAAAATAATGATATATTATTTCGTTGTGTACAATTATGTTGCTTTCGCGTTAAAAGACACCTGGAAAATTTAACTTTAACTCATCAGGACATCAGCGTCTTTTAACTGTTACATCATCACAGATGAACAAAGGAAAAAAGGAAAACATACAAGTACCCTTGAGCCGGGACTTCTTGTTGTTCAGAAATCACGTTAGCTTTGCCCTAAATGAATCTCCACGAAATGAAAAAATAGAGAAGACTTGTTCCCAGTCGTTGCTAGGAAAGGCTTGGGTAGAGCGTCCACAGAGCATCAACAGAGTCTACATGCTCCTGGCATACCCCGCGTTCTTGACGATGACATCGTTTCTCTGACAAGTAACACATAAGTAAAGCTTGGGCGGGTTTCTCACACCAGCAACATGTAATATCAAAGCATTCTCATCTCAGCTGTCATCACACCTTCGGTTTGGCATGAATTTTGTGAAAAATGCTGTTAAACTTGTTGTCAGGAAAAAGCAACTCCAGAATACCTTCACACAGTACATAGAGAAGACGCTTGTTTAGGCTGCAGTACTGAAAGGTGTCGAACACACTGTAAAGGAAAGGAACCACTTAGATAATGAACTGTTCAGAAAGCCAAGGACTGAAAATTACTTCATGATATTTCAAATATACAGGATGAAATCGAGTCGAAAAAGAAATTGGTGCACTTGTAACTCGATTCTTCAAACAGCAATAAAGTACCTACATCGTTAAAAATTTCTCATGGGTAAACCTGAAGTAATAGCATGCACTAGGTTCCTGAATGATAAAATGCTCCTTTGTACTAGTCAGCATTAAGCATCAAGCAATAAAATTCAAAGCCCAGTAAATCGCGTGAAAAAAAACTGCTTTCAATAGAATCGGCGTACCACAAGTTTGAATTCATAAAGAAGAAGAGAATCAAACATACCAACAAACTCCTTCCATTGTTACTTCTAAACCAAGGAAACGTTTAAGTTCCTCTGTGAAAAATTATTGATAACATCAACGGTAATTAGGTATTGTATAAGACAGCGCAAGATAAATTTTTTTAAATTCGGTGCGAAGAAGAGAATATAAACTCTTGTCCGCAGACATTACCTGTTGTGGGAAGCGAACAGTTTTCCTTAGGCTTCGCTCTCGGAAAACTGCGAACTTGAAGGGACAAATTACGTTCGGCGATAAGAACAAATCCAGTATTTCACGCTAAACTTGCTTTTTTTTTGGTTTAAGAATTAACCCAAGGACTAATGTTGTTTGGGGTTTTCTTTGTGCAAGTTACCACTTTCTAGGCTCAAAAAAGCGGATGCGCGACATAATGTGGAAGAGAAGAGCGTTGTGGTTTGACCGCTCTTTCGCTCGTATCCACTGTTTGAGAGCCAAAACACAGAGTAAAACTGAGGGACGCGAAATACAAAAGTAAATCTGTCGGCAAAGCTATAAAAAAAATAACTGGATTTGTCTTCCGTGACTTTAACGAACCAGTCAAGTATTGTGGACCCCAAACAGTCCTTGAAGCTAGGAATTGCTTAACAAACTGAAGTCTTTGCCTTGCTCACCGGGAATACTCCCGAAAATCTTTGTTTTAGCAGCCACTCGTGTCCTAATCTTGACATCTTTTTTTCTTTCTTGGGAAGCTTCGGCCAAAATTCCACCAGGCCAGTAGGAGTCTCTGAAACACATCAAACACACAAACTAAATTTAATTGGCTGTAAAGTACAGCTGCTGTTTAGTCGTAGTTAAGTTCTTGCACTCGTTTTTAAACACGTCGAATCCAAAGACCTCTTCGATCAAATAGGTTTTTGGTTTTTATCTTTTTTCACCTACACTCGGAACAAAGAATGAGGAAGTGGTATAAAAGGTATCCAACAGACAGGCCACAATTTTTTTTTGTGAGGCTATGTGTAAGCAATTAAACGAAGATGAAACACAGTTGATCCCAATGTACATTTATACTAACGGTGCCATCACTGAAACAGAAAAGGGGCACTTATCGGAATGTGGGTGCTAACCCAATAGGGGCGTTTATTAATAAAGACAAAGTTGAAGGGGGGCGCTTGTCAGACAGGGGGCGCTTATTGGAAGGAGAGCGCCAAAACGAATCATTACGGTATCTCTCTATTGCAGCATCAAAATTATTGCGATCAAACCAACCAGACTATGTATTTCAGTCGAACTCTTGGAGAAGGGTCTGTCTGGGGCAAAAGAGTTTGGGTCCAGGGACCGTTACGACGGAACATTTTCCAAACGATCATAGCCAAAACATCAATTAACATTTATCCATTTATGCTGACGATCACTACATTTACGAAGGTTTCCA